CCAGTGGGGTCTGCAACCTGCCCCTTCTGCTGGACCGAGTGGGACGGGCTGAAGTGACCAGAAATTATGTGAAATTTCTGAGTAATCCTTGGCTTCTTCTCTTCCCCTTTTTTGAATTAGTGTGGTGGAAATAAATTATGATTTGTTACTGTGTTTTATGGTATTCAAAGCATGGTGCCTCCAATAAAATCAGCCAAACTGTACCCCCTCAGCTGTCAGATTATGTAAGGTGAAGCCCAACATATCTGGAGGGCAATGGACTAGAGACAACGGTTGGATAGGCAATTGTATCCAACTGGGATTGCATCAGTTACATATCTTCAAACATCACTTTGTCTGAATTGGAGACTTTTGCATGGAGTGGTTACTTAACCATTTCTGATTTAACACGTATTGTAGTATTATCTCATTCATTAATGATCCACAAGTGACTGATTTAAATAAAGTCTTTTTATTCCTCTCCAAAGCATAGTTTTGAGCTCTTCCATCATAGGATCTTAATTCACTTCTTGTTCCAGGAACTTTCAAGTGGATTAATCTTCTATCCTTCTCTTTAGTGTGGCATCGAATGACTACCTATGAATATATTGTGCAGCAGCGTCCACCACAAGAGGTGAAGGATCCTGAGAAGCAGCTGGAATCCTGCCCTCCCCCAACAAGGCCCATTCAGGTAAGACTGCGGCTTTTGCTTAAATAAAAGTGTATATTTTTGGCATATCCAGGATGCAACATGCTCATAATGTTTCTCTTTAATGTTTCTTTAATTTTGTTATCTGTAAAGCCTGGAGCTTGTATATTTTTCCCATGGTAGGAGACAGAGTGGGACTTACAGACTTTGTGCTGTTATTATGAGAGCCACTGGAAGAGGATAATCATTGTTTTTTGTATCTGACTGGTAGCTGTACATTGACCCTGACAGTGTGCCACTGACTAATGCATTTAGTCTATAATCTCCATCTTGAGGCTGCCTTTAAACTCCACTGTATACCCCCAAAATCTGGCCTAATGTTTTTACTTTGTCTTTATTTCCTCCTTCTTCTTCATCTTCCTTAATTAATTCCCAAAGCTTGATCATTTTTTGTTGCCAGTTTGGTTGGTCCAACAATGGATATCAGGTTTTTTTTCCCCCAAGGATCATTATATCTATTACTGATTTCTCTGTTAGTTCTGTCAATCAGTAGAAAGTGTATAGTATATGTGACTCACTTGTGCCACAAAATCTCCAGTGTCCCATTAATTTGCTTTGAGAGGTAATGACATCCTCTCCTATCCAGTAAAGAATTGTTAGCTTCAGGAAAATCTCTCTTCGTTTGCGAGAAGTCCAGTTTCTATCATTGTTGACAGGCAGTATCCAACAGAAAAAGGGAGAACAGGGTGGGAATAAGGTCCTTTGCTTCTGTAATATTAGATGGAACCAGTAGATGTGTAGCATAAAATTTATAGCTCTAAAAGGAAAGCCCCATAAGCTGAAATTCTTATATTTAGATATTTTAATGTTTTCCAAGTTTTGTAAGAAATGTTTGCTATTTACATTTCTTAAAATAAGCAAGTCTGATTTATTTTTATTTTATAATAATTAGATGCTGCCTCCATCATAGACTCTGGATGGCTCACAATAAAAGCATAAAAATACAAATTATAAAAATACAGCATTTCAGTATAAAATGATAATATTTAAAAGTACATCAACGGGATAAATATATAGCAACCATCATGTCTCACCAGCCTATACTCTGAAAGCTTGGCAGAAGGGGATAGTCTTTTTAAAAATTTTATATTTATTAAGAATTTTTCATAGAGTAAAAGACAAATTAAAAAAGCAGAGAATTGCAAGAAACGAAAAAAGAGAAGGAAAAAAAGTTAAGAAATATAATGAATTCTGACCTTCTTTTCAACAGATAGTTACAATCTTATAGCCCCTCTTAGATATTATACAAGGCCTTCCAGCCCCTCATTTAATCTACACCTTTCTTAATCTTCAAATCCATAAATCATCATGTCATTTCTTTCTTCTTTCACCAAAAGTCCATATAAGATTTCCAGTCTTTCAGAAAACTTTTTGTTGGCTTTTGTTGGTTTGTTGGCAAGTCAGTTTTGCCATTTCTGCGAATTCTGACATTTTCACAATCCATTCCTCCACTGTGGGGATTTTGTTGTCCTTCCATCATTGTGTATACAATAATCTTGCTGCAGTTACCATATACAAGATCAGTCTACTATAAGGTTTTTCTAATTCATTGTCCATAAGTCCCTATAAAAAGAATTCTAGTTTCTTCACAATATTAATCTTTAAAATCCTTTCTATCATTGTATGAATTTTTATCCAAAATTTCTTAGTTTTCTCATAAGTCCACCATGCATGATAAAATGTCCCCTCATGTTTTTCACATTTCCAACACTGGCTTGAAATACCTTTATACATTTTTGATAATTTCTCTGGTGTGATGGTGGTATAAAATGATACATCATTTTATAAAAGTTTTCTCTTAGATTGTGACACAATGTAAATTTAATATCAGTTACCCACGTTCTCTCCCAAGTGTCCATCTCTATGTGATATCCAAAATTAGTAGCCCATTTTGTCATGCAATCTTTCACCTGTTCCACTCCTGTTTCAAATCTTAACAAAAGTTTATACATTTTTGCTATTACATATTCATCATTGTACATAATTCAATTTCAAATTCTGTTTTGTGTTTTTCAGTTCCAATTGTCTTTTTATCCATATTAAACCTTTCTTTTAACTGTGCATATGAAACCCATTGAAAACTATGTCCTTCTGCAGTCAATTTTTCTCTTGACTTCATCTTAATTTCTCCATCCTTCTGTATTAATAAGCCTTGATATGTTAGCCATTTCTCCTTATCTGCTGTTTCTGTTCCATAGAATGCTTCTTGTGCTGAGATCAGTCAAGGTATCTTTGGGCACAACCTGGGTTTATATTTATTCCATGCTCTCAGTATAGCACTTCTCACATAATTATTTTTAAAATCCACATTAACTTTATCATACCATAAAAACCCATGCCAACCAAACCCCTAGTTATAATCTTCCAATTCTAACATTCTTTTATTTCTCAGCAGGACCCATTCTTTCATCCAAACTAAACAGCAAGCTGCAAAATACAATTTAAAGTTGGGCAATCTTCTGTCTTTTGCGTCTTGTAGAATTTTATATTTAACTCCTGGTTTCTTGCCCTGTCATACAAATCCAAATATATATTTTTGCCATTGTTTAAAAGGTGCATCATTTTTCAAAACTAGTATTGTTTGAAATGAAAATACCATTCTAGGTAATACATTCATTTTTATCATAGAAATTCTTCTGAGCAGTGATAATTGCAACTTTTCCCATCTTAGTAAATCTTTCTTAATTTCATTCCATACCTTAATATAATTATTCTGAAATAACATACAGTTCATATTGGACATAGTAATACCGAGATTTTTGCTTTTTTCTCAATCTGAAAGCCAGCTTTTTTCAAACAGTTCTTTTTGAACTTCCATCCTGATATCTTTGTTAACATTTTAGTTTTCTCTTTATTAATTTTAAATCCAGCTAATGCACCAAATTCCTTCAGCTTTTCCATTTATATTTCTATATCTTTCAAGGGACTTTCAACTATTAAAACCAAATCATTTGCAGATGCTTTTTTTATCTTCACCCCAGTTGGCAGACAGGAATAGTCTTTAATTATCATCCATTTTTATCCACATATTTCCAAATCTTTGCTTTGATCATAGGATGTAGTGAGATGCTTAGAGTAGACCATTGAAATCAATGGACAAGGTAATCATAGAGATAATTCCTTTGAATGTCAGTGACCTACTCTGATTAAATCTCAAGACAGTGCAGTGTCCTTCCTGGAAATCAAATCAATTATTTGGCCTAAGAAAGTAATCCAGTTATTTGGACATGCTGAGATCTTCAGCACACAGTGAGGGTCCATAGCTGTGTTGGGTCATTCTGTTTGTTACATGAACAGTTGGATAAACCAGCCTAACAGTGAGCTGAATGCCAAATATGTGATACTTAAGCAAAGCTGTCCTTGGCTAAAACTGAGCTGCTAAAAGGAGTTACCAACTGTGATTTGTGGTACCAGAATGTATTAATTGAAACTCTTGATATTATTGCTCCTTCTTCAAACATTCCATTTTTATCAAGTAAATTGAAACAGCAAAAATGTGGAACAGAACAGTATTTTGTTTCTAGCAGCATACATGGTACTCTGCTACACCCCGTGATATCCTTGCAGCAATCTTCTGAAGTTGGTAAAGGCTGAGATTTAGTGACTGGCTCAGGGACTCCTAGTGATCAGCATCACAAACTGGGTATTTGAACCAAGTTTTCCACAGTCTTAGGCCAACACAACAAGCATTGTATCATTCTAGCTCCTTTAAGGTCACATGCAAATTTTGAGGTTGCTATGTTTTAAACTGGGGATTCTTCAAATTATGGGATGCATCTCCTTGCGGTCAGGTGCAACTTAGTGGGGGGGGGGTCATAATTTTTTTCAACAATCTGATCAGGCTTACACAGGCAATGTTCATCATTTTGTCTGTGCAAAGGCTGCAGTGGGCCATTGCACAAAGTTACAAAGTTGGACAATCCCTTTGGCGTATGGATTAAAATGTAATTACTAAAAGTGGTGTACTTATTCCTTGTCCAGCCCTAACCCCAGTAAAATTCTTCATTTGATTGATGGAGGGATCATTTATTCATTTTAGAGATAGCACAAAGTACTCCAAGTACCACAAAGTTTGAGAAGCAAAGTTTTAAGGTATTAAGGTGAATATGTGAAATCTTTAAGTATGTATATTAAAGAGTCTGTATTTTTCTTACCGTTCTAAGGTAGAAATGTCAATAATTTTGATGTTTGATCAAAAAAGGTACAACAATTTGTGATGCTGCCCTATCTCTTCCTTCAAAATGACACTAAATAGGTAACTTGTTTGTTTTAGGATATGCAGTTTTATGCAGGGAGTCTTGGTTATACCAATCCCGAGATCCAGGTGGAGAACTCGTCAGGGTTACCATCTGGGAGAGAGTAAGTAGAATGAAGGCAAAGATGGTTTCTCAGAATTTGTTACAATGGGTGATGCGTTTTGGATGTACAGCAAGATTATATTAAATACAATTTTCGGAGTCTCTTAGAAATCAGAACAGCTTTCTTAGCAGTAAACACAAATGTGAATTTATATCTCTGTTTGGCTTTTGCTGGTAAGAAGAGGAAATAAAGCCCAATCAGCAGCAACAGTATGAATAGAAAATATTGCAATGAGAATATTAAACATCACAACAAAGCAATATTAAATAACATTGAAAGACCTAAATTCTAAAAGGATTTTATATGGCCTTGCTCATAATTTAGGTACCAGGTGAATGAATTGCTAGTATTGACATTTTTGTCTCAAAAATTAGGCTATTGTACTTAAACAGATATCCCTTCTGAAGGGATGTAGGACTTTTTCTGGATAAAATAGCAGAAGGATTCAGCTTCCTTGGAATAGCATATTTTTTATAGAAAGTATATGTACTATGGAGGGAGTACTGTTGAAGGAGACATAATGGTCTTGAGAAAGATGTGGCCAGTGGATTTATTCTTTATAGAGATGGGAAATTTAAGAGATAATAGTATTTATTTAGGGGGACGCGGTGGTGCAGCGGCTTAATGAC